CAGGTATATGAAATTCGCTCTGAAGTTGGAAATGGACACACGTTCAACATGATAAGAGAGTATCGCATTGCCAAAGAGGTATAAACCAGAAAGTCTTGCATACATAATACCCAATGATGAAAATTTCTGATGCAAAATTTCAGCATTTCAGGATGTCGAACACTTTCAGTATGAGTATAAAATCAAATTTATCGAAAACAGTTTCAAAATGAGAATCAAATCAAATCAGAATCAAATATGAGTGTCAAATCAAAATTTTTAACTTATATCAGTGATAGTTTATGACTCACTCCAAATTGTACGGTATTGTATCGAACGAAAAGAACAAATCAAGAAGATATTCACAGCAGCAATGCATAGATTACAAGCCTTCATAGCATTCTCCTCGACCTATTGGCTATCGTATGCATGAAATTCTTGCTCCTTAGGGTTTCACCTGAACATGAGTGTAATCCTTTCCTTCATTCGAAGGAAATAAATTGTTATGGTACAAAATATTTCATGTATTAAGATAGCATATGGATCAAGCCAATCACTTAATTCTGTCACCTCAGCTGTTCATGAAGAGAATGGCTAGATCCAAAGTTGAATAGCGCTGCGATATCGTAGATTCCCATACGTTCACCTTTATCACATTCGGATCATCAGTAGGTCCAGAATTTATCAGTGAGATCATACTATTCCTTGCTTTTCATAAGAGCACGACTCTAGATGTCAGAAAATTATAGTCACTTTCAACGAAACGTCATCCAATCAAGAGCTATTCATTAATTCATCCGCAACTTGAGTAAATAAGAGGCAATGTGGTTGCCACAATTTCTAAGCATTTGGTCTCGAGCAGAGCTCTCTCTCTAGATTCATGTAAGTTTACTGATGTTTTGCATATACCATTCTCAGGCCATCAATTCACCCGGATTTGATCAGCCTAGTTGTGGTTCTTACTATTTTTAGATAGAGGATAACTTTAGCTAGCTCAAGCTTAAGCATATTCTCCACTAGAAATGTCTAGTCAAGCGTAATTTCGATTCATCTGTTTGTTCACATATATCTCATTGACAACATTCTGTTAGTGATGCGTTCGAGCCTCAAAACGCTCCACTTTATCCAATAATAACGCGTTACTTGATGATTCTTTGATAAAGCAGAACTCTAGCTATCAGTAGAACATATAATAGATCTGCTGGCAGTGTTCGTTCTTGATATAAAAATTTCATGATTCTGATAACCAAACTCGGTTGAGTATTGGTGTGAGTAAATCAAACAATCTAGTTGATAAGTAATAGCTGAACAAGCGATTGCAGAGAGCACGTGCATAAAGAATGAGAATTTGATGGTAGTTGTTGAGAGGATGAGAGAAAATGAACGAGAAATGAGATTGATAATGAGAGATGAGAGAATCAGTTGACTGTTCCAAAAAAGTTGTGAGGAAGATTATAAGACATTAAAAATGAAAATTCACATAGAAATTACTGAATTCACTGAATTTCAGATTAATCTTTTTTAGCAATGCATAGGTAAGGGTTTCAAAAGTAAGTCACGTTATTCATAGATTCCATTTCAAATACCGTTCAGATTCATTGAGAATGCAATTAAGTTGCCAATTCAATATCAATTGAGCAAGTACTTGTATTCAATATCAGTGAGTAGTACTTGTATTGTATTGAGACAAGGAATGCTAAAAGTTTGCCATTGAAAGTGGTCTTAAAAACCAAACTGATTGACTCAATTCATATGGAACTTGCACTTGACTTATAAGACAATAAGAGGAATGATATTAATAATGACAATGATGGTAATGATAATCATAAAATTGAATGTGTTCTAGAAATAAGGCACAATGGTCAAGATCAAACGAGTTGTCGATCAATGGTGATTTGGATCACCATATCATGAGACGTTCTTCTTTTGAGGCCGTTGATACCCTCAAGTTTGGCTTAGAAGGTATCGTTAATTTATGATATTCTGATGGACATGACTTCAGCTACCTGAAAAAAAATATTTGCATATGAATTCTTAAGCAAGAATCTCTGATTTGAGAAATATCCATCAATTCATGCAAGAAATATTTTAAAATATTATGGAGGATCAAAAATATTATTAGCAATCAAATATCACATAATTACAAGGCATCATTATTAATACTTCATAAAAGCGATACATTACCAAGAAGCATCATCACATAAAGGCTCCTTCATAAGATTATATTTATTAACGGTGTGTGATAACAAAATGAAGCAAGAAAATAACAGAAAAAATAGATAATCTGAAAGAAGCGGCATATTTAATTTATAAGAAGCAAGTGCTGTTTACGAGAGCTTTTGGTCTTGAAATCTTTCAGCAGCTTTGAAGTCTTGGTCGGCAAGGTACGTGTTGTAAACGTTATAGGCATTTACTTTCATAGCACTGGGAATTACATGTAATTAGTTACATTGGAAATTATAACTGATCTGCGCAAGATGTATTTTTATTGTTGAACAGTAGTCCTTCGAAAATACAAGGAGTCATTTTTTAAGAATTAATAGGAACAGGATAAAGAAGAAAGAATTATGAAGTTATTCTGTTTTGTGTTTGTTTTTTACATCGAAATTTTCGATTAGAATGATAATAAAATAATATGGCATGCCATTAAATCTATATCAGTAAATTTATACATCATTCATAAAAGAATGTCTGCGTACAAAGACCAAATGTACATGATATCAGTTATGCAGAAGATGCATTCGAAAATTTTTATTGGTCTCTTTATGAATCTTTAAAATAGGTATTTTTAGAATCAGACCACGAAACTGCGCTGTCGACATTTGATCACTGATGCTCATAAGAAAGGAAAAATGAAGAAGTGCAATGAACTTAGATTCATTTATTAGTTATTAAGCTTTTTGTTGCAGTATTTGTGGTTATTAACGGTTATCAGTTCTTATCAGTGGCTGAAAAATGATAATTATTGCTGAAAATAGGCAGATGCAAATAATCAAACAAGTGATATTGCGACGGATTGTTTCAATTGACATTGTTTTGGATGGGTGCATCGTTCTTGCCGAGCACTTTACGTTCACCAGATGCCATTTTTGCGATTGTTTGAGTTTGAGGAATTCACTTCATCCTTCGGATTTTGAAGTGTTGTTCAGCTGAACTGCTAACTCCGATTCAGAATCTTGTTAATGGCTCGTCGAAACTTTATAGAGTTGCCTAACTTTCAGATTAGAACTCGCCGATTGTTAGTATCGGAGGTGAATCTAGATTCACTTTTTAGTTTTGTAGATATGATCAAGTTTCAGCCGAAGTAGTTTCAGTTGGTTCGAGGTTGATTCTCATATGAGATTCCACAGTATTGCACTGACGCATAGTTCTAGAATCATTTGAATAGGCAGCAGCCTGAGCTGAAGATCAATGCATTTGGTGTGTTATAGATCAAAATCTCCCTTCAGATGCACTCTTGAATAAAATTCCTAATTATGATCTTTTTGTTCTGGATATAAGCGGTTTACATCAAAGGACTGAATTTAGGTGACTTATATGGTCAGTACCATAGTATCAGGTTTCCTAAGCTAACGCTTCTTGATATTGTTGCTGTGGCTGCATATCTGGTATGAGATTTCATTTGTGAATTCACGAGTAAATGGATGTAGTTTTGAAATGTGAATTCAGAACACGATAAGACTGTAAGGCTGTGATCGGTCATATTTATTGCGTACGATTGATTGAATGCTCGTAGATATTACTGAAAGTGTTTAACATTCTCACCGCAATTAAAACTCTCAAGCTGTTCAAACTTATCTTTTTCATGTGTGTTCATTCAGCTTATTTCATCCGTCCATATTGCTGGATATATCCGCTTTCAAGCCATTAGTGGGATTTTAATCATTAAAGAAACAAAGCAACAATTCTTTGATTTCAGTTAGCTCTATACTTTCGAGCCGTGAAGCAATGATCAGATATTTCGATTGGTCAAAATTGATTACAGATTTATTTTCGATTAAATGAGCAGCTTGTTCCATTGGAAACATCACTAATTAATTTTATCGTATTCATCAGTCGGCTGGCTTTTTTCAATGACTAATCTTATCAGTCCAATCAATTGACATTATCAAAGAGGCGTCTATGACTGTTGCTCATATATATCACCAATATGTTCCATCATACACCTTTCGATGTCATTATATATATCCTATATATAGTCCTACTTAAGCCGTGTTATTGAACATATGATAGATTATCTCCTGATCGTTATTCATTTTAAGGGTGATTGTGGTGTGTTTGAAGAAGGAGGGTAACGAACGACTGAACGATACGAAACATCATAATATAGAATAAAGGACCACAAAGAAGATCAAAACATCTCGCAGCAAGATCAAATTGAAGCCGGAACAATGTCAGAAGAGAGGGATGTATCTCTAGAGGGCGATGTTGCTGATACGGATATAATGCCATCGGCACCTCCTTTGAAAGACGAAGAAGATTTCAAATCGCCGTCCGCTGACGGGAAACAAGTCTCAAGTCTTATGGAAGATGCTAAGGGATTATCGTTGGATAAAGAGCATGATGCTGAGGCAAATAAAAAACCAGCCCCTGAACCGGTGATGGGCGCAGTCGATAAGCCTCCAAACAAGTTCTTCCTAATTACGTTAGCAAGTCTGTTAGTCATCACTGGATCGTTGAATACAATCGCAGCAAAGTGGGTCTTTTCCTATCATCAATCCTAACATTAATATCAATATTGCTCAGAATCGCTCTCATTGGTACTATAATTACAGAAAGACAGAATCGTATCATTAAAGGTGTTGATAACCTTAAGTGAAATTCTCTTAGATTCACCAATGCAAACTTATTTTTATTTAGTNATATCATTATTGCTCAGAATCGCTCTCATTGGTACTATAATTACAGAAAGACAAAATTGTATCATTAATGGTGTTGATAACCTTAAGTGAAATTCTCTTAGATTCACCAATGCAAACTTATTTTTATTTAGTCAGCTTATTATGGTGTTGTGACGATTTCATTAATGATTTGTTACTCATTTACAATCATAAGTGAAAATGGAAATGCACACTGTTTGCAAGATGAATTTTGAGTTTTGTGTCCACAGCACTCACAATATGTGCTTGTCAGCAAATTGTTCTCGGTTTTCAGATGGGCGAATACAACCTGTATTAAATCGTGCTTGGCACCGAATTGTTCTGATCCTGAGGTGTATAAGGAAGTTGTCGAAAATTATTCAATAACGGCGGATTGCTCGTCAAACGATACTTCTATGCTTAATGCGCGTTTTTTTGACCATCCATTCTTCCAGGTAATCGAGTTCATATTTCGTAGCAATGATGCATTGCATTTGCGTTATATGTTGAATGTATTATTGGCCAAATGCAAGCATATTTTTAAGAAGTATTAACTCAGTTTTTTTATCGTTGCATCACCTCACTATCACTCGTCAACGTTTGACGTAATGATGTGCATCCACTGCATGCAATTAATCTATCGCGTGAGCGCTATTTCAGGCTGACGTAATGTTCGTTGGTGAAGTGTGTTGTATGCTTGCCTATTTGGTCAGTCTGATGATTCAACGGTATCAGTGGAGAAGGCGAAAGGCGAACCATGTTTGCACGGCGGGATCGGGATCAGTTTCGGGAACATTGATGGGAAGTGTTTTGGATTCGGAAAAACGTGACAGTGCTGTGAGTGGATCTGAGTGGAGCACATGCGATAGTGTGACGACATGTCAGAGTTGCTATGCTGATGTGAACACATGCGAGGTGTGCAACTCGGAATGTCCCACAGTACCACGATTCAACTGGTTTCTGTTTGCGATTCCAGCGTTTTGCGATGTTGTCGCTACATCGATTCAATACGTCGGATTGGTGCTGACCAGCGCTGCTTCCTATCAAATGTTAAGAGGTTAGTTCTGCGATCGAGTACGGAACGAAGTCGATCCATTTGATGGTTATAGGCGTATCACCTGGAGCTGAAGAGAGTAAACGGCTAACCGGGAAACAGTGATCGATGGAATTCACTTATGCACATATAAAAAACTTGACGACAGTAGATTTTTGTGTTCTGGAAAGGACTTTTGAATGACGTTGCTTATGCGCTATACGATTAGACAGATCAACAGTAGAGTGGAAGAAGCGTTGATTGATCAGGTGTTTCGAAGA